ATATATATATATGTATGTATATGTATATTTACCAGCCTTATTGCATATGTCACTTTACCTCTACTAATATCAAAGACTTCATACATATACTGTGTACATTCACTTCATATGCTGCTTTGTCACTTTACTACAAATGTCAATGTCAGGAACTTAATTTTATTTTATAGATATACTTTTTTTAATATTTTTATACTGCTATACTATAATTTAGGACAGTATCATACTTTTATTATTTCATTTGATGATAATGTTTATTAAATGTTTTAATGGTTAATGTTTATTGTTGCACCAGGGATCTGAGAGTAATGCAATTTCAATCCTGTGTATGTCCTGTACATATTGCAGTTTTGACAATACAGTTGACTTGGACTTTAAAGTTGAAAACGTTGGGAGTTATTTTTGATCAGGATGTCTTTTAACCCCCATATTAAAAGTGTTACCAAAACCGCTTTCCTCCACCTGTGTAATATCACTAAGATTAGAAACATATTGTCCAAAAATGATGAAGAAAAATTGGTCCATGCATTTATCGCATCTAGGCTAGACTACAGCCATTACAGATATTATTGTTCCATATTTTCCTAACAGAGTACTTCGCTCTCAGACTGCAGGTTTACTTGTGGTTCCTAAAGTTTCCAAAAGCAGAACGGGAGGAAGATTTTTTTTATCAGGTTCCTCTCTTGTGGAACCAAATTCCAGTTTCTGTCCGTGAGGCTATTGTCCAGTTTTAAGATTAGGTTTAAGTCTTTCCTTTTTGATACATCCTATACGCAGGGTTAGCTTGAGTTTCCTGAGCTATCCCTTAGTTATGCTGATATAGGCTTAGACTGCTGGAGGACAAACTGACCACATTTCTTCATTATGCTACAGTCTTTACTTACTCTACTCAACCTGTTTTGTATTTGTAATTATTTTTTTTCTATCCTTGACATGTGTTTGTCTGTCTCTGCAGGGGTACACCTGCATCTATATCTGGACCTATTCTGTGTTAGTTTGTCTCTTCTTCTGGTCCTCTCAACCCAGTCGGTCGAAGCAGATGGCCGCTTGTCCTGAGCCTGGTTCTGCTGGAGGTTTCTTTATTTTAAAAGGGAGTTTTTCCTTCTACTGTTGCCTTTGTGCTTGCTCAGGATGGGAGACTGATCAAATGAAGATTCAACCAGTCTACTAGCTTACTTAGATAGAGATTTTACTAATTGGCTTTTTTATGCATGTGAATGTTTCTGTAAAGTGCCCTGAGACAACTTTGTTGTGAATTGGCGCTATATAAATAAACTGAATTGAATTTAAGCTCTAGAAAAGCACATTTATGACTTGTTCATCCAGATCAGGTGTTCTGAGGCAGAGAATCATCTAAAATATTCCGACTAGTGACCCCTGAGGAGCAGGTATATGGACCACTGTCATAGGTGAAAGGTAGATTATTTTGTTCTTTGCGCAGTGTTCAAGTGCTACTTTTTTTACCCATATGCAGCTGACTAGAAAAGACGTGGCTTTGTCCTTGCCAATTTTTGTTCTAGGTTTAAAAGTGTCAGACTTAAAAAGGTGCCTTGTATTATCAAGAATTATCAAAATAGTCCATGCTCAATAATCCAGGTATACAATCAAACAATTTTCAGTCAGGTCATCTGGACAGTTTCTTTTTTTGCTGAAACGTTTCACCTTCCATCTTGCTTGTTCCACTTTGGAGTAAGCGGTTTGGGGGAAGAATCAGTTTTGTGTTGTGTGTTTCCTTGACTGATGAAGCCTTCTGGATGGAAGGTATGGTATGGTATAAAGTTTATTCATTAAAAAAAAGTACAAAACAATTACACAACAATATAAAAAGATACAAAAGATTTAAAATGAAAGGCAGCAGAAAGAAGAAAAAACCTTATTATATCTGCCTCTTTTTTCAAACAATTATTTAAATCATAATAATTTTCAAGTAACAGAACAAAATGAACAATTCAGCTTTGATCTTTTTCTTAAATGTACACATTGACTTGACATTTTTAACATCACTCTCTAGACCATTCCACAATCCAATTCCTTGGATTGAGGTAGACCTTCCCTTCAGACTAGTTCTGAATTTTGGTTTGACAAATATCTCTATCCCCTTATAATCTTAAGGGGATAGAGATATTTGTCAAACCAAAATTCAGAACTAGTCTGAAGGGAAGGTCTACCTCAAGGTGGAAGGTGAAACGTTTCAGCAAAAAAAAAGAAATTGTCCAGATGACCTGACAGAAAATTGTTGGGTATCAAGAATTATGTTAGTTATTATGGGAATGTGACCAGAAAACTCATGTAGAAACCTCACAGGTGAAGATTTGAACATGTTACCAATCAATGACAACTCTTTAACCCTTCTGTCAGTTTCAAATTGCACAATGTTAGCTTGAGAACACATCAGTAAACAAAGGCAGAAAGAAATTACTGAGCAAAGCGGTCCACTCTCACCCATTCAGCATGAGACTTAGCAGCAGATTAGTTTTACACATTCATAGCCAACATCCAAGACGGGTCGCAAGAAATAAAGTAAAAAGAATGAAAAAAAAAAATAATTTAAATAAATAAATAAATACTTTATATAATTTACAGTATCAAGGGAACAGACTGCTAGTGCTATCTTTGACACTTACCAGAGTCTTTACAATTTTAGGTAGGCCAACCCACAATTTCTTATATTATTGTTGCCCCATCTTACAGGGTAAATAATTTTAACATCTCAAAATTAAAATGATAATCACCATCTGTCAAGCAAATATTCAGAGAAAACCTTTAGGGTTGTAAAGTAAAACACATAAATCATGTGAGATATTGAAATTTTATGATTAATTTTTATTTTTTTTTTTATGGGGTGGGGGGGTGGGGTTAAACCATCAACTAACATGTCTCAGGAAGACAATCCTGCACAGTGAAAAAAACTTTCACAAAAAAGACAGCACAGTGTAGGAGATGTTACTAAAGACATAAACATAAATAAAATATTTTCTTATAGCTAAACAAGGAACTCTAAATACCAGCAATAGTTTATGATTCTTTGTTTTACCTCTTAGTTTATGCTCGTGTCCTCATGAAGAAAGTTAAACAAATTCAAACACAAACTCAAGAAAATAAATTCAACAATAAGAAAAGCAATTATTTTGCATATTGGAAAAAAGGAGCTTCATAGTGGAAAACTACCAGTGCACAGAAATTATGGCACTGCAACTGTTTAGCTTTCAAAAAGCAAGGACTGAATGATAAAAAATAATAATAATAATAATAAATACTACGAAAATGTTTGATTCTCATTTTGTCTGTTATGAACACAAAAACACAAATCTTTAACCATCTAAATTATTCAGTTCCAATTTGTCAGCATTTTTTTTCTCAAAATCCACAACAAAAACTATTATCACAGACCATTTGGTCTTTTAAAACAGGTAAAGTAGTCCCTGTTGGGGGACTCCCGGAGTTTCGGGCTTGGGGACCGCTGTGTGTCTGTGGTTCCGGTCTTCCCTGTGTTAACTTCGTGTCCTGTGGGGACAGGTTTATGGGTCCCCACATCCACTATTGAACATTTTTATGGAGAAACCTTATAGTGATAAGCTCACACAGGTGTTTAGATTCAGGTGTTTATCAGATACACACTCAGATGGGTTGTGGTGGCCACTAAATATATATTGTATACTGTACTGTATAAAATACTTTCTAATATGTTATAAGTATCATTATATGTGTTGTTTGTTGTTGTGGTTTCAAAAAACAAACAGGTAAAGTCGGCAGTCCATCTGGTTTCAGACATGTAGAAAGAGCAACTTACCATCAGACAGGAAGTACTCCACTTCCCCGTTGATGCCTTCATCCCCATCCTGAGCACTGAGTCTGTACACCACTGATCCTGCAGGAGCATCAGGGAGAACCACTGCCAGGTAGGGTGAAGGAACCATGCTCCATTCTGGGACATTATCATTTACATCAGTCACAGTCAACTCCACTCTGATCAAGTACCACTCGGGACCTAAAGGGCAAAGAAAAGAAGTGGTAAGTTTTTGGAACATTTATAACAGTGGCTTAAAAATAACTATAGAAAATGAGAATAGTCAAAGTTTCTATTATTAATTTGATGTGATTTTGAGAGCACAAGTAGAGTATCACATTAACTTCAGATAAGTCAATTTCAAGTTCAAGGTTCTTTATTGCCATTCACATCACATGTGGTACATTAGGTGAAATGAACTTATGTACTCAACCAGACTAACCATCCCATCCATCCATTATCTTTACCCGCTTATTCCATTTTGGGTCACGGGGGTCGCCGGTGCCCATGTCCAGCAATCACTGTGCGAGGTTCGGGGTACACGCTGGACGGGTCGCAAGTCCATCACAGGGACACATAGAGACAAACGAGACAAACAACCATTCGCTCTCTCACTCACACCTAGGGACAATTTAGAGTTACCAATCAGTCTAACATTAATGTTTTTTGGTCTGTGGGAGGAAACCGGAGTACCCAGAGAAAACTCACGCATGCACGGAGAGAACATGCAAACTCCACCCAGAAAGGCCCCCGGACCGGGGTTTGAACCAAGGCTCGCTGAGAGGCAGCAGCTCTACCAGGCACCGTGCTCCCCCCAGATTAACCAGACTAGTTTTATTTTATCTGCAGAGACAAAGGTTAAAATTTAAATTATTTATATAGTATGTTATCAAAGGAAAGTAAACTTTGGTTTGTCAAGGAGATGAGACTCATGATAATGAGAAAATGTTTTTGTTGTTCTTTTTATTTGCTTCCTTCTGCATGGGTCGACTTCCAATTCCTCTTTTTTACTCAACAATGGATACAATAAAAATCAACAACAAAACATGTTTTGGGGCAAAAAAAAAAAAAAGAAGGCCAAAAGCAATTACAAGCAGGTTCTGTAAGAATAGGACATTTTGTTCTTTCGGAAAAGAAAAATGAAAAACAAAAGTTCTGTCATGTTTTTTTCAAAAACTAGCAGGGCAATGACTTCCACCAAGATTGCAATGACAAACCAGAAGTTTCTGCAAATCATTGTCTAAGCAAATCTAACTTTTATTAGTGACTGATCATCTTGTGAACATTATCTTGACACTTGATCATCTTGGACATCTACACCTCCAGATGCAGGAAGAGGGCCACCTGCATCACGAAGGACCCCACTCACCCAGCACACACACTTTTTGCCCCACTCCCCTCAGGCAGGAGGTTGAGAAGCATTAAGTGTAGAACCACTAGACTGAGGAACAGCATCTACCCTAAAGCTGTTAGGACTTATAAATCCCTAACCAGACAAATCACTGTAATTACATTTTATTTGGAGATTTGACACTTTATCTGAGCTGCTGATTATCCATGCTGCTGATTTCTTATCAATATGCTGCTATATTCATACACATCTGCGCAAAACTGAGTTATATTAAGGCTGCTGTTTAATACATCTTATTTTTATTATATTATTATTGTTTAGTGTATATCTTAGATTCTTATATACAGTTTCTTTTTATAGTTTTTTTTTATTTGCTATTAATAAAAATAATAGTATTATTCTATTGCATTTAACAGATGTGATGCGAATGGCACCACGAACCTTGTGTGCATTCACAACAGTTTATTGTTTTACATTTGGTTTTATGTAACCGTTATTCCCTGCTATACCATTGGGTTTGTTCCATCTGAAGAACCAGACAGGATGAATTTTAACAAGAAGATACAAGATCATCCAGCATCTCAACCAGTAATTACAATTAGTGCACTGAGATGTGTTGTAAACAGCAATCACAGGGACACCAGTGATACCCAAGTCAAGACCAACACATGTCCTCATCAATACACCTGCATATCTAAAGAAACATACAGCACAGCAGCATTTGCTGTTCACAGCAAGAAGAGATAGGCTAGAGCCTGAAGACCACCCCCCCCCCCCCCCCCCCCCCCCCCCCCCCCCCGCCACACACACACCACCACTGTCTCAGTTTTAACAACTACTTGAAGCTATAACAAGACGTGGATTCTAAAAAATAGAGACTTTCATTACCAAAATAATCATTGCAGTGAGGTGAAAAAGGACCTTGTTTGTGTGACTGCACTAATGGCAATGCAACCTGGGCAGAGTGAGTAATAGGCTGCCATGAACTAAGTCTGAAGGAGAAAGAAGAAAGAAAAAGGAAGAAAAAAGAAAGGAGAAGAAGGAAGAACAAAGGAAGGAGGAAGGAAGAAGAAAGAAGAAGAAAAAAGAAGATTTTGATTTTTAATAAAACTTTATTTACACAATAAGTTAACACGACAGTGTTAAAAAAGGTGATCAGGACAAGCTTAAAATAAAATATTTACACGAGGAGCTTGTTGTATTGTAGTTCTCCCTGATCAGAAATGGTGCATAAAACCTTCTTCAATCCCCACAGTTTCACAAAATTATCCAAGTGTCCAGTGTCTCTGTGGAAGCAAAACTTCAACACCAGTCTGGCCTTGACGTTGCACTTCCACAGAGCCACGGCATCAAGTTGGGGTCCAGCCTGCACTCTGTCCCTGAGAGACAAGTAAACAGACATTTTTGCTTTGGCCACTAAAAAGGTTGTTAAAGACACAGCAGAACAAGAACAAAGAAGATGGAAGAATTAAGAAGAGGAAGAAAGAGAAAAGCATGAGCAAGCAGTTGCATAAATCAATAGCATTAGAGACCAGAAGATAAAGGAACATTACATGGAAAAAAATAAACAGATGAAGATAGAAGATCCGAGTTAATCATCACCTCCAATTTGCCCCGCCCCATGTAGCTCCTGGCATACGATAGCATCTGTTCGCATATAACCAATTCACTCTGCTTGATTGTGGGGAAACACCAAAGGTGATCAGTCATCTATTATTTAAATTATATTCAGTCAAAAATGTTGAAACCCATTCATTGTTTTTAATTTTACTATTTATGCTTTTATTGCTATTATTAAAAGCAAAACATAAACTGAGTATATTTGTCTTGTTGATTAGCCCACCCCCCCACTTCTGTCTCCATGTTAGAAACTTAGGGGAAATGTTGCAGCCAAAGCATTTGTTGAACTTTCTCTAACTTTCTTTCCTCCTTTCTCTTTTATTGTTGTTGTAACAGATTTAAAATTAATTGGCAAAAGGACAATGCAGCTTTGGGGAAGAAGGGACGTCATTACTCAGATAATAAATCACCAGGCTAATATTCAGTGTGCTATGCCAAATGCATCTCTCTCACTATCTGCTCATCCTCTAGCTTTTCTACACATGCACGCACTCGCACGCACACACCTTCTCAATAACAATCATCACTGGATTAGTGTCTAATGAAGGACCACAGGGAGATACAGATTGGTGTCATTGCCATCTCTAACACTAATGCATCTTCCTGGATCTAATGACATGTTGCAATCAGTAAAAAGGCAGTAGGAACTGGCATTAGCACCTGTGCCACAAAAGACTTGTTTTTACAGACACAGTCTCACGTTTTAAAAGGTTGCAATCTCACTGATATTTTTAAGGAATTTTCTCTGCTTGTTTTCAGACTGGTGCATGCTGTACCTGTCATCATGAGATGACCACATTGCTTTGCACTCTGTTACAGATGACTGACTGATAGAGCTGATGCCCTTTAAAATGTTCCATCGTTCTGAATGATCACTTTGTCATTGTTTTCTGCTAGTACAGTGCACCTGCATACAAAACACAGAGCCCTTTAAACCCTTTTGAACAAAACTATACACCAAAATGTTTCTCTCTCAAAAAGAAAACAACAACAAAAAAAGGTTAATTTACATTCTTAGTCTTTATTAACTATCATTCACTGAAGGACAATCTGAAGTACCAGATATATTTTAATCCAATATTACATCTATAGTAACACATCACCGCCAGCAACTCCATACAAACAGAAGATAGGTGACTTGTCCAATGAAACTACATTACTTGCATTATCCACTGAAATCAACAAGCATATTGAGGTTTTGAATCAAACTTTATGTAAGTCGTGGAGTAAAAGATTGTAAAAATGTCACACGAGGAGCTGTAAGAAAGCATATGGCAGAACAAGTCTGGTGGTAGGTCTGTCCCAATAAACAATAAATAAATTAATCACATGACAAATGAAAATTATCGACCTCATTTTCATTTATTGGCTTTATCGTTTCTTCGTGTCTCTTTCTACTGAAGACACTGGATGCCAATAAGCTCAACTCTAGTGCTCTTCACTGGCCCCTCCATTTAAAAATCCATTTCACCCATACAAAATTGTGTTTTTGGATCATTAAAAGCATCTAAGCTGAGAAGCTAAGCTATGAGCTAAGCTAACAGGGTGACATCGGGAAGAAAAAATAAACTTTGTTTGACAATAATGACTAATTATTGTCAAATTTAAAACAATATTATTGTTTATCGCTATAATTTCTGAGAAAATAACTTTATTTATAATGCACTTAACATCCACAATGGATCTCAAAGTGCTAAAAATTAATTGCCCAGCTAAATTTGTTATTGTGACAGGCCTACATCCACAAACTTGTATGCAACTCTGACTGAAAGAGATGAGAGATGCAGCTTCTATGAGACGTATTGGTATGAAGCTCCATGAAACCAAAAAAAAAAAAAAAGGAAAAGTTGGGAAATCTTGACATGCGTATCTGAATACCGGCACTCAAATAATCAAATGAGTGTTTGATTTAACACACTATTCAACTGCTGCAGCCCTAGTCAGTAGACTTTAGGTTTTTCCTATGGGCAGACATGCGGTTTAAAGTTTGCTCTAATTCCAGAACCTCGACTCTACCATCACTGGAATTTTTCGCCCTACTCAGCACTTTCTGCCAATTCCTCATCTTGCAAACACTTGCTTTACCATGAGAAAATCCCACAGCGCATGGGAAATCCTGCAGCATGTGTTCCTTCTGCACTTCAAAGCCTGCAGTCAGTGGCTATAACACACTGTCAGAACCCAGAAAGCAGAATGCAAGTGTTAGGGAAAGGAAGGATACTCACGTGGA